TCTATCTATCTATCTATCTATCTATCTATCTATCTATCTATCTATCTATCTATCTATCTATCTATCTATCTATCTATCTATCATCTATCTACTATATTTTGTCAGAGAGACCTGGAAGGAGCTTCTTAACCATTCACCTCAGCTATTTAGCATGTCCCAGAGTGAACAATCTGAGAAAGTCTTCTCAACCTGGGGGTGCCAGCAGGTAACAGACTGTGTTCTTCTGACTCTCTAAGAGGCAGGCACTTTATGTATTTAGGACCCCTTGTAGTGGCAAGTCTCAGAAAGCCAGTCTCCAGCGGGTGTAAAGGAGTATACGGGGATCAACTTCTGAAATGACATACCAAGGCAGCGGCCTGACAGCGGTCTGGTGCCCTGGCACTCCTGCATGCCCTGGTCTTGCTCTGCCCACTCTAAGAGCTGCCCTGCCCCTTGGTAGGCAGCAGATGGCGAGCAGCTCTTCTCAGCTCCCTCGGCATCACACTTCACTTTGTTTCCTTGTTCCAGGGCTTATCACATCCCCGTCTGCATCAGGCACGGATATGGATGGTGGGGCTCCTGCCCATCACTTATATCTTTTCCTCATTGCTCTTGGGCTAGTTTCCAAGCAGAGTTTGGACTCAGTCTCCTCTTGGGCACGTTGGCTAGTGGGATAGGAATGGATAGCTGGACAAACTGGAGTTCTCTATTAAGATGGAGGGGGACCGTGCAGAGGAGGCTGCTTATGACACACCCTTCAGCCCTTCTACTCATCTTTGTGGAATGAAAGTGGGGCTACTGGGGAGGGGAGGGGGCGCCTTGGGGGCAGCGCAGAGAGTGGATGGGGATGGATGATGTTAGGAGGTCTGGACAGACAGATGTCTCAAGTTTTATAGGGAAGTAGAGGAAAGACCCACAGGAGAGATGCGTGAGGCTGTTTAAGGACAGTTTTAGAAGCAGTGTGGCCAGGACAAAGGTCTGGGGCACAAAAATCCCCAGAAACCGAGTCTAATCCAGACGTTTCTGCTTTAGAGGACATTGTGACATGGAATACCCAAACTTTGACTTCTGGGTGTCTCTGGAAAACACAATCCTTTTTGTGTCCCCCCAGGCAGCCACGGCCATGTGTTGTGAAATATTCTATTCTCACTGGACAAAGATGTGTTACATCTGTTTATGCTGTGGAATATTACCTTAACTGTGTAAAGATGTGTTGCTTTTGTTTATGCTGCATTTGTTTAACTATGTAAAGATGTATTGCATTTGTTCACCTTGCCTGCCTAAGGCACCTGGTTGGTCTAATAAAGAGCTAAATGGCCAGTAGCTAGGCAGGAGGGGCAGAGGTGGGACTGCCATGCAGAGAGAATAGATAGAAAGAGGAATCTAGATAGAGAGGAACAAGAGGAGAGAGGAGAGAATGCGGGACATGCCTGGGACCAGAAGCTCCTATCTGCGCAGTTAGGCTGATACCTCAGCATTTCCCCGAGGATAAGCTTTACACGGTGAGTTCTTTCTTCCTGCTCTTGCGTGGAGGCAGCAGTGGTCTTGCTATGGGCCCAGCCTGCTCCGTTCTGAGGTCAGAATGGCATAGCACAGCATGCATCCTAGGACAAGGTCCACTGTTGTCAGACATCGGGGAGGGGTGAGGATGGGAACTTCAGTCTTGTTAAGCAGCCCCGCCCTAAATAAAAATAACATCATGGACGCAGAGAATGGATGGGATGGGAAGCCCACGGTCTATCAGTGTTCTGTTGTGGGGCTCATCTACCACTGGGAGAGGAAAGGGAGTCCACCCACCTGGGTCTTGGGTCCTTCTTTCTCTCCTATATCTTCAGCAGAGCTCAGGCCAGTTGCTGAGATCTACAAATGGAGGGATTCAGCTGCTTTCGACCACATGTGCCGCTTTCCCCCTCGGACTCCATTGTTTTACTAATTTAGTCATGTCATTAATGTCATTTAATATCTTATGTGCCAGTTTTATTGATATATAATTTACATACCATGCAGTCCACCCACTTGACGCTTATAACCCACGGATCTTTAGACTATTGGCAGAATGGTCCAGCATCATCACAGTCAGCCATAGTCAGCCTTCATCCCTTCCAAAAGAAATACCAAATCCATCACAACTCAGTCCTCATTTGCTCCTACCGTCACGCCAGACTTCAGTAACCACAAACCTCTTTTCTAACTCTGAATTTAGCTCTTATGGGCATTACACATAAACAGAAGCACAAAGTGTGTGGTCGTTCATGGCTGGCTTCATTTGCTTAGCATGATATTTCTATGTTCATGATTGGATCTTGATCAGTTCCTACTTTCACACACCTGAGAAATACTTTATTGCATGAACATTGCCACTTTCATTTTACCTTCCATCATCATAGGGGCATTTTGGTTATTTCCACTTTTGAGGCTACTTTAAGGAAATATGCTATGAATATTCATGTACAAGGGCTTGTATCGTCAACTTTGTAACCATGGACACTGCCATGGGAATGAACCATGAGGATCCTAGTGTGATATGTAATAAATGGAGATACATGTCTGTCCATTTGGACAACCCTACTCCCAAGGGATCAGCTCCTAGATCTTTGCTGTTCCAAAATCTTAGCTTGTTTCTGTAGCTAGAGTGACATTCAAAGGGTTCTTGTATAAATCAGTCAGGGGAGTGGGAGCTGGCCCTGGTTCTGCTGTTGAAATCTAGTGAATGCAGGCAAGGCCTTTAGTCTCAGTTACTCACCTGTCTTCAGATTCCTAGACTGTCTCACCTCCCAGGCCTGAGGCCCGTATATTAGAGGAGGCTGGAAACCTCCTCAAGCAGGAAGTCATGTTCGACCATGGTCAACTAGTTATTCTTGTAGCTAAAATTTTTCTGGTCCTGTCTGGTCCACAGTCAGGACAAATCTCTCTTGCTCGCCAGTCCCATAGCCGCTCAGACCCAACCAAGTAAACACACAGAGACTTATATTGCTTATAAACTGTATGGCCATGGCAGGCTTCTTGCTAACTGTTCTTATATCTTAAATTAACCCATTTCTATTAATCTATAAGTTGCCACGTGGCTTGTGGCTTACCCATATCTTACATGTTGGTACTCAGCCTTCCTGTTTCTAGAATCTCTTCTCTGTTTGTCCCACCTATACTTCCTGCCTGGCTACTGGCCAATCAGTATTTTATTTATACAGAGTGATATCCACAGCATATTCTTCCTTGGAAACTTTCAGGATAGAAAAGAAGGAGCTATTGTTTCCCAGAGCCTTGTTGAGAAAGGCAAATGTCTCTAGTCACTTTACTCTCCTTTTCTAGACCACCCAGGGGGCCTGGTGGAACCCCCAGAAGCTTCACCCTGGCCAGTGTCACTCAAGGTGAGGAGACAGATTTCAGCAGTGTCTCACACATAGTCCCAAGCCACCAGGCTGACTTCTCCCTGTTGCTGGAGCCAGGCCCTCCTCAGGATGAGTGTCTGTAGCCTTCGTTTGGGTATTGACAAGGATAGGTAGTATGTAATTCCTGAACCCTCTCTATTCCCTAAGACTCTCCACTCACTGTTCAACTTCAGAATTTTGTAGTTTGCTCAATACAAAGAAGTCCCATGACAGAGAGGCTGTAAGAGACTCTCCTCCAAGTGAAAATGTCTCACTTCTTTAGTGCAAGAGAAGGAAGGGGTTAAGAGGAGATTTCCTGTCACAGGGAAGATGCCTTCTTTATGTGTGTGTGTGTGTTGTGTGTGTGTGTGCACATGCACACGCAAATGTGAATGTACTTGTGTGTGTGTGGATGTTGAATTTCTTTTATTTTCCACTAGTCAAAAACAGATTACAAGCTGGGCCTGGAGGCATAAGTTTAAAATCCGAGTTACTTGGAAAGGAAAGGCAGTTCAGTCTGGACAACTTAGTGAGATCCTGTATTAAAAACAAAAAGTAAGGGGTTGGAATGATGGCTCAGCAATTAAGAGCTCTGGTTGTTCTTCCAGAAGACCTGGATTTGAGTCCCAGCAACTCCATGGTGGCTCACAACCATTTCTAACACTAATGCCAGGGGATCCAACACTCTCTTCCGGCCTCCATGGGCACCAGGCACATATGTGATACATAGACACACATGCAGGAAACATCAGAGCTTTGTCATTGGAGGGAAACCCCTTCATTTGCTCCAGATGTCCCTCCCCACCAAAAGCTGAAGTTCCTATCTATGCCCAAAGCTCTGGTTGAGCCAGGAGATACTTTGGAGGAGGCTGAGAATCCATTTCCTGTCACTCACATTTTGGATTGCCTCTTAGTGCCAGGACTCGGTATTTGATGGGCAACTTCAGTTTTAGAGTGAATACCCAGGATCAGGAAAACAGCCTGGCCAGTGGGGGCATGCCCATCATCATCATTTAGAACTTATGGATGTGGTGAGGTGGGAGCTAAACTCAAGAGTTGCTGGAAACAAGGAAGCCTTAGCAGCAGGGTCTCATCTTGGAGACACCGTGGAGACAGAGCAGGAGAAGCCAAGGAGCTCAAAAGAAGAGCAGAGAGGAAGGACCCTGGGACACGGTGTGCAGGAGAAATGAAGAGCAGGACACTTGCTTATGCTCTGGGCTCTCTAGCTTCAATAGGGGCAGCGAGCTGCCCTGTGCTTGAGTGCCTTGCGGGTATCCTCTTCTGGCAGCCAGTAGATCTTAATGGCGTCACTCGGGTGGATTCCCCGTGATATAAAATCCTGGTTCATGAGCATCAGGTCTCCAGGAAAGCCAGTGATGGGGAAGAGGTTTCTGTTCGTCAGGCCCGTGATGCACCGCTCCTGTTTCTTCACAGGGAGGAAAGTTTTCCGATCATTCCGATGACATACCAAACACCCTTTGGGTTCTTCTGACTTGAAAATTACGTTCATTGTGATTTCTCGTGGGTTTGTGGGTTTGAACTCCACCTCCCCTTTCTCCTCTTGACTGGCTTTATCAGAGCTATCCCTGTCAAAGTTGCCCCCCTCTTCCCTGGACTTGACTGTTCCTGTGGTACCCGGCTCTGCTCCAGACAGCAAAGTGGCACTCCGGAGCCGTTCGAGGTATGGAGAAAGCTGCTTGTTTCTCAGGGCTCGTGCGAGCTGCATTCTTTTTATATGTTTGTCGATGTCGATCACCTCTCGGTGGGGCATTTTAAACTCCTCCGCAGGTATGACCACCTTTGCTGTCCATATTTTTTCTGGGGGTCCACACACAGTACAAGGAGAAGAGGACTCTTTTCTATATTTTTTTGCCATTTTGTAGTCTGATGACTGTGCCTGCAGTTTTCTCAGCATCCTCCACTCTTTCCTCTGCTGGTCAGCCAAATATCTTCTTGTTGCTATGGTGTGAACGCCACCGAGATGCTGAACACAGAGAAAAAGATGGTTAAAAAATCTCAATACCTAGGGGTAGGCAGCCACCGTGGAAAGAATTAGCTAGTGGCTGATTCCTCTCCACTGCTAAGAGCATTGAATCCCTTATTAAATAGGAAAGCGGGTAGACCTTGGGGATCACATAGGCCTGGGTTCAAAGCCCGGCTCTCCTTCTATCCACCGTGAATTTAGAATCATTTTATTGACCTTACAAAGGGTATTGTGAATCTCAAAAGATGATGTGTATGAGAGCAACTAGTGCGTGTGAGTGCATGTGTGAGTGCGTGTGTGAGTGCATGCATGTGTGTGTGTGTGTGTGTGTGTGTGTGTGTGGTTTTCGTATCACTGTGACTAAATAACACCCTGCAAGAAGGAGCCTAAGGGAAGAAGGGGACACAGTTTGTCAAGGTAGGGAGGACACGGTGGCAGGTGGCTCCATGGTGGTGGGGGCATGGAGCAGCTTGCCTCCATCTCAGGGGATCAGGACAGGAGCCAAGGCCAGGCAAAATCCAGAAGGCCCACCCTCTTAGTGACCCCATCCTTCTTCAGCTAGACCTCGCCTCCTAAAAGTTCCACAACTGTGCCACTAACTGAGAGCCCTGTGTCGAAAGGCATGAACTTCTGGGGACACTTCACGCTCAAAGTGTAACCCAATGCCCAAAAGAAGAGCTGAGGACCTGGAAGCTTTGTCTTTATCACTGAGGTTTGCAGCTTATCCTTATTTCTGTTTTTTCCCTTTTCATTTTTTTGACTATTTTTTTAAAAAGATTAACTTTGTTTTCAAGTGTGTGTGTGTGTGTGTGTGTGTGTGTGTGTGTGTGTGTTTGCACACGTGTATGCAGGTAACTGTGGAGGCTAGAAGAGGATGTTGGATACCGTGGAGCTACAGTTATGTGCAGTTGTAAGTTGCCTGACTTGGGTGCTGGGAACTGAACTCTGAAAGAGCAGGTTAGGCTATCTTTCCAGCTCCCGATGTTTATCTTTTGACAGTTCCATGCAGGTGTATAATGAACATCTTCACCCGTTACTTGCTCTCATCCCTCTCTCGGTCCCACCGAATTTCTTCTCTTCCCATACAAGTCCTCTTTTCGTGTCTTTTTTTTCTTTTTCTTTTGGTTTCTCTGTGACCCACCACCTCTAATTCGCGTTGTTCACATGAGCCTTGGTAGAAGGTTTTTCCCTGGGGCACGGGCAGCTTACCAGTGGTTACATCACCGAAGAAAATGACTTCTCTGCCCCCGCCCCCACTATTAACTGCCTAGAGAGAGGTGAGGCCTTGGGAGACGCTCGCCTACCGTGACTAAATGTTGATGGGCGCCATCTGTGCAGAGCTCGTGTGGTATTGAAAGACCAAGGGTTAAAACACTCGAGCCTATGGGACACGTGTCACACTCAAAGTACAACACAGTGCCAGGTAAGTACTGAAGAAATGGCAGTTTCGTAATTTATTATCACAGTTACGTAAAACACAGTGTTTTTTAGTGTGTGTTTCCGTTTGGTGTAAGTATTGCCAACATGTAGGGGGAGGGTGTATGTCCTGTGCATATGCATTCAGAGACCAGACAGAGACATCAGGTGCCTTCCCCTACCACTTCCCTCCACATTCCTTTGAGACACAGTCTCTCACAGAACTAGAAACTTGCCATTTTGTTTAGGCTGCCTGGCCAGCAATCTCCCAGGGTCCACCGGTCTCTGCTCCCAGTGCCAGGGTTACAGTATACGCAGCCATGCCTGGCATTTTTATATAGGTGCTAAGGATTCAAGTGCAGGCCTTCATGCTTGCACAGCAAGGGTACTCACCCTCTGAGCCATCCTTCCAGCCCTGCTTATGACTGAACTCCTGACTGGGATGTTCAGAGAGTGAAATCTACCAGTAGGACACAGCCAGCAGGAGCTATTGTGGAAACGGATGTGATTGGTGGATTTTGAACCCTGGGAGTCCCCTTACCTCTGCAAGCAGACTCTAGAGGGACTCAGTCCATGCAAACTTGGGGGCACTTACCAGGATCTCTTGTTCCATCGGAGAATATTTTCCAAGGGCAATGCGTGGGTCTGATTTGTAGAATGCCGTCCATATCCTGGAAGGCAGGGGGGCAATGAGTTAGAACACTGGAAAGGGCCTTTCTAGTTTCTTCTCATGGTGAGAAACCCACAGGTGGTAGTTCTACATTAACTAGGCTTGAGGACACCTAGGAAAGGACTGGGTACCCAAGCCATACTCACCCCAGAGGTGACGCAATACAGAAGTCCTCTTTCCGGTATGGGAAATCTTGAGCTACTAAGGGAGAGCTGACACTGGGGACCTTGGATGGCTTTCTGTTGTCTGGCTCTTCCTCAGCAGTGGTCCCTTCCTGGGCCGTCAGATGTGCGGCTCTCTGGCTTCTATACCTCTGAAAGCGGTTTTCCCACTCTTTAATCATCCTCCGGCAATAGGTCAGGGCAGGAGGTGTTACTGCCTGGGGTTTGTGTCTGAGACAGTTTAATGGGAGCTCAAGGGCAGTCAAAAGCACTCCGCATGTCATAACTGGCTTAGCCAAGGCCTTATTGTGAAGTCTGTTAAATGACTCTTGGGTAAAACACTGCCACTCTGTGGCAGGCTGGAGCCCAGGAAGAAACTGGGCAGAGTGTGACTGGGAGGCAGTGCAGCTTCTCAGTTCTTAGGGGATGAAGAAAAAGACTTTGCATCGATACCTATTTAAGGTGGTTATTGGGGTGCTGTCTTTTTTTCCTTAATAACCATAGGTTTGCTTTCCATATTTTTGGTCAAATAAATTACAAATATTTACTCCTACACCTTTCTATTAAACTTTTTACACATACCTTTCTATTTTTATACACTTTTCTGGTTTTTTTTTTAATTTTATGTATTTGCATGTGTGTCAGAGGGTATGCATGGATGTCACATGCATTCAGTGCTTGCAGAGGCCAGAAGAAGGCATCAGATCCACTGGAATGGAGTTACAGATGGTTGTAAGCTGTCATGTGGGTGCAGGAAACAGAACCTGGGTCCTCTTCTACAAGAGTAGCAAGTACTCTTAGCAACTAAACTACCTAGTCCCACTTTTCACTTTTGTAATGTTTATTTTTAAGATCTAATTTTATTTAATTAACATTTTTTTCATTTACCTTACATACCGACCACAGTTCTCCCTCCCTCCTCTCCTCCCATTCTACCCCCCTCCCCACCCACTACTGTCTCCATTCAGAAAGGGGCAGGCCTCCCATGGCCTTGAAAACAGACAGCATGGCACGTCAAGTTGAGCTCCTCCCCCTGCCGAAAGGCTGGGTGAAGTAATCCAGCCTGAGGAACAGGTTCCCCAGAGCCAGTTAAGCGCCAGGGACAGGCCCCTTCTCACTTTCTTAAAGGTGTCTTTTGGTGAATGGAAGTTCCTATGTTTAAGCCAGGTGCACTCTAATGATTGATATTTCCCTTTATGGTTCATGCTTTCCTTACATTGTATAAGAAATTGTCACCTATCCAAAGTAGGAATGATACTCACACTCATACACATGTAATTAACCCTAGGATAATCATTAATATGATAATGATTAACTGCCCTTTCCGTTTCTTTTGAGTATATTTCCAAGTTCTTTTTGTAACGGCTGTTAAGAAGTATGTGCGTTTATGAGCAAGCCAGAGGACTCCCTTCTCTGTATCCACAGCTGTCCTCGCAGCCACCATCCTGGACTCTGGCTCCCTCTGGCAGGATCTTAGAACTTATATCTACTGCTCTTCTCATGATGGAGCCAAGCACTCGACAGAAGACACTCGAGGGAGTGGGATTTACACTGACTCACCGTTTCATCACGGTGGGGAAGACCTGGTGGAGCGGGCTAGCCCGAGTGGTGGGAGCTCACTGTTGCTGCAATACCGCAGCTCAGAGAGCACAGGGCCCAGGCTGGAGCCAGGGTAGCTGTCTCCTTCAAGCCTCAGCCCTGGCAACCCACTTCTTTCAGCTAGGCCACTGTCCCCAGGTTTCTACAACATCCTAAAGTGTCACCACTACTTGGAGCCCAAGGGTTCAAACACATGAGACCTTCAGGAGTGTTTCATATTCAACCCAGGAGTGTTTCATATTCGACCCATTAAAGGATGGTTCCCAAGGCCCACCTGCCATCTCCAAGTCTAAGCAATAGCTTCCTGAAATATAGGGACCCCTTTCTGACACTGAATCAGACACAAAGCAGAATCTACATAGAATCGTTCCCAGCCTTCCCCTGAGGGGTTCAATGGAGATGTCCCTCACCTTACTCTCCTCAAAGGTGCCTGTGAGAGGCTTTGCGACATTTTGAATGGGATATTCCCCATATTCTTAGGCATTTGAATACATTATGGACAGTTGGTGTCAATGTTTGGGGAAGGTTAGGAGGTGTGGCCTTGCTGGAAGAAGTGTGTCACTGTCACCAAGGGCAGGCTTTGAGGCTTCAAAAGCCATCTTCCATTCCCAACTTAATCTCTCTCCGCCAGCTGCTTGTGGTATGAGATGTGAGCTTCCAGCTGGTCCTGCCTCCATGCCTGCCTTCCCACCATCGTGGTGATGAACCCTTATCCCCCTGGAACATAAGCCCCAGATAAACCCTTTCTTCATCACGGGGTTTTTAATCACACCAAGAGGAAAATAACTAGTAGAGTCTTCTTTTGGTTTCCTGTGCTGCTAAGATTCACCATGAGGCATGAGCAGTACTTTCCTGAAGTGTAGGCCGACATTATGCTGGCTGAGTTTATACCAGCTTGACGTAAGCTAGAGTCGTCTGGGAAGAGGGAGCCTCAGTTGGGAAAATGCCTCCATAAAATCAGGCTGTAGGCTAGCCTGTAGGGCATTTTCTCAATTAGTGATTGATGGGGGAAGGTCCAACCCATTGTGTGTGGTGCCATCCCTGGGCGGGTGGTCCTGAGTTCTATAAGAAAGCAGGCTGAGCAAACCATAAGGAGCAAGGCAGTAAGCAGCACTCCTCCATGGCCTCTGCATCAGCTCCTGCCTCCAGGTTCCTGTCCTGTGTAAGATCCAGTCCTGACTTCCCTCAGTGATGGACTATGATGTGGAAGTGTAGGCTGAATAAACACTTTCCTCCCGGTCTTGCTTTTGGTTATGTGATATGGCAGGCATTCATCTTCAAATTAGGGCCAACGTCTTAGTTTCATTTCCCATTGCTGTGATAAAATACCCTGATAAACGCAGTTTAGGGGAGAAGGGTTTGTTCTAGCTCATGAGTCGAGGTGCAGTCTACGATGGTGGGCAAGAAAGGCAGCAGGGCCTTGAAGCCGCAGCAGGGTGTCTCACATCTGGTCATGAAGAAGAGAGCTAGTGAGGGCATGCATGCTGTTCAGTTCCCTTTCTCCAGCTCTGCAGCCCAGGATTCCACCCAAGAAATGGTGACACCCGTAGTGACCGTCCAGAGGTGCTGGGACCTGGGAGAATGGCGCCGAAAAACGAGGCCGACTGGTCTCATGCGACAGCCAGCTTTAGTCAGAGCAGCAGACAGTTTATTTCTGAGAGTGCAGAGAGCTCATAGGAGTGAAGTTCACTCGAGTTCAAGCTGTGTGCAATAATGAAGACAAAAAGGCGTGTGACAAAAACATGTTTTTCCATGGAAGCACACAAAGGACAGTTTAAACATTTAACTGACTAGCAAGGGCAAGAAGTAATGAGTAATCCGAAGTAAACTCACTCATGTCTGCTACACCTGGAGCAAGTGTGAAAACATATTCCAGGAACAATTTAGTGTTTTGAAGAAAATGAGGTTACAAGACTCTTGTCCTGTTTTCTTGGAGTGTTCTCATAAGCCTGCAGAATTCTCACTTGCCTCTATGCCTGGACTGTGTTTTGATAGAGTAGGTTTTTCTATCTCAAGATACACTCCCACATTCCCAGAGGCCCATATCCCAGGTAATTCCTGGTTCTGTCAAGCTGACGACCACTAACCATCACAGTCAATAAATGAACATTTTAAGAACCTATAAGCTCCCCTAAATATGTCATTAGATGTCTGACATTAGAATCCTAATGCACTAGTTGAATGTTAGTGATAAAGATGTACTGCAGAATGATGGGAAGGAGCATGTATGTGTTAGTAAGAGTTCTCCGAGTGAAGTTGTTGTGTTTGACAATAAAAATCCAGGACATCCATTAAATTTTAATTTTAGATGTATCCCATTTGCTTATCATAGGGAGTAGTTCGTTTTTTATCGACAATTCCATTTTAGCAGGTCGTTTTATATATTATTTGACAACTCCATCTGAGAGCTGGTGGAGGGGCAGAAATGGCCCAATGTGCAGCACTTACCCATTGCTTTGGTGTAAACAGTCCTGTGGCGTTAATGTTACGATACTGATGTGAGTGGTATCAGGGAATATGGAATTAGGAATAAATGCATGCAATTGGCTCTCTTTCAAATACTGCCTCTTGCCATTTGCCAGCGTGCTAGCCCTGGGGAGTGGCCTTACATAAGACAGCCTCAGTTTGGATGAACAACCAGAACAATAACATGACCCCTGTTAGGAGGCAGCTGGGAGAATGGCGCCAAGAAACGAGACCTACTGAAGTCTCATGCGACAGCCAGCTTTCATCAGGGCAGCAGTTTATTTCTGAGAGTGCAGAGAGCTCATAGGAGTGAAGTTCACTTGAGTTCAAGCAAGGCTGCCAGAGTCCTGCTTGCCACACTCAAGCTGGCCAGAGTCCCTTCAAGGGACCTCTCGTGCAGCCCCTGGCCAGGCATGAGCCAGATCTGCAGACCTGTGCTCCTCTTCAGTGTGTCCACTTTCCCGAACAGTCAGTTCAGCCTTAGCTCAGATGGGTTGAAGAGAAGCAAGTGGGTGGAAGAGCGGGTGTTCCTATGGAGCCAGGACTAATTCTGGAAAACCCAAGAATTAGTGAGCTGTGTTTGTTACTTTTCTGTTGCTGTGATAAAACACCACGACCAAGGAAACTTCTACAAAGAAGAGTTAATTTGGGCTTATGATTCTAAAGGGGAAGATCATAACCGGGGAGGCATGGCAGCAGGCTGCCAGAGCGGGAGCTGAGAGATCACATGTTCAATTGCACACAGAGAAACAGAGAGTGAACGGGAAGTGGAGGGCAGGCTATAAACTCTCAGAGGCCACCCCTAATGATGCACTTCTTCCAACAAGGCTCCACCTCTTAGAGACCCCCAAACCTCCTCAAACAGCACCAATGGCTTGCGACCAAGTGTTCAAATACATGAGCCTATGGGGACATTTCTCATTTAGGCCACCACAGAACCCTTTGAGGGAAAGGTGTACTCCAGGAAAAGGAACTTCCAATGATCCTGGGAATGGTAACTTCACCCTAATGCCCATCTGACCTTGACTCTGTTGTCCACAGACATTTGTACAAACTCAACAATGAGGAGTTGGCAGGGGAGGGAAATGCTTTCTGGGAAGAGCCAGAGAGAGCTGGTATGCTTGGGGGAACTAGAAGAGGTCTGATTTGCAGAGGGAGTGGGTGGACAGGGCATG